GAAAACTATAAGAAACTCTATAAACAGATCAGATTAAAATATTCTCTTACAGATGTGTCCTGGTTCCCGGATGGTTGGTATTGATCCAGTTTTTTAGCCTTAGATTGGAAGCATATCCTCTTTTCACTTGAGGGAAGTTGATAAACATGTCCGAGGTAAAATGTTTAGAAACACACAAGCAGACATTTGCGGAGGTGTTTCTGAATAGGTGGAGCGTTGCCCATGTAGGCGGAGCGTCACCGCCCACTATTCCGGGCTGACGTCGGGTCAGATGGAATCTGTATCCGCTCGTTGTAGCTCCGTTTTTTAAAAGATTTGGGTATCTAGGAAAATAGAGAGGGTTGTATTTTCTGACACTTGGTGAGTTCCCTGAAACACCGGGGACACATATTCATGTATAAAAGACGTACAAAAGTGCATTTTGCATGATAGGTCCCCTTTAAGTACAGGTCTTGATAAATGGTATAAAACAATTAAAACATTGCAAGCTGAGGCAGTGAACATGTTTGTAATGTTATTGCCATAAAAATCACAAATTGAGTTTATTCACAATATAATACATGATAATGTATAAGTTGATTTACTTCAATCTACTGTACTGTGTAAAACCACCACAACAATATTGCAAAAATTATACTGCATATTAAAGCAAACTATTGTAAAGGTAAAAGTATGAGCATAACAAATAAATAAGTGTAAACATTTACATTATTATTATGATTATTTAATATATAAAGACTATATAATTGGATTACAATTAAGATAATAAGATTAGATATACTTTATTCAACCTGATCTCACCAGAATGCGTGACTCCACCACGACTCGTTAACACCACATTGCGTGGTTCACTTTATTTGATCTAAAATATGGATGTTTTTCCGTTATAGTAGCCTGTGAAAACCATAACAAATATGTGATTCTGAAATGCTGAAGTACTGAAAGTCCAGGAAACAACCTGAAGACCAAAGTTCACCCAGTTGTCCAGTTGTACAGTATCTGGGGATTTTGCTCAATGCAGCCCCCATCGAGAGCGAGGGGTACGCCCCCGTCGAGAGCGAGGGGTACGCCCCCATTGAGAGTGAAGTATACGCCCCATCGAGAAGGAGGGCAGGCTACGTGCCACTCTGAGGACAGACAGACGTGGTGCGAGGAAGGGAGTCTAGAGCCTCTGTCCGGTACATTGCTTGCTCATGCCACAGTCAAGGTGTATGCAGCAGCCATCTCGTCCTGTCATGCGGGATTTGGCGGCAGACCAGTCTTTAGCCAACCGCTTGTGAAGCGTTTTTTGCAGGGGATCAGGAGACAGCGCCCAGTGGTGCATGTCTCCACCCCGCAATGGGAACTGCCATTGGTGCTCAAGGCTTTGGTTACAGAACCGTTTGAGCCTCTGGAGCTCTCCTCCCTGAAGGCGCTATCATTGAAAGAGAGAGAAGCAAAAAGAAACAGCTTTGCTGCTTGCTTTGACTTCTGCCAAGAGTCTGTATGCGAACTGATCGCTCTATCGGTGCACCCGAGTTGCCTTCTGGTTCGTGGTGACCGTAGCAGGGCGACACTCAGACTGAACCCCTCCTCTGTTCCCAAGAACCTAAGGAGTTCTTCCAGGTTGAGGGTTATACAGCTAGGCGGCTTTAGTCGTCCACCTATGCACGGCGGCGTCTTGGTCTACGCCAGGCCCGTTCATAAGGTAAGTATCTCTGAGATATGTCTGGCTCCTTTTTCATCGTCGGTGCTTGCTGGGGCAACACAGGACTGGTGAAAGGAGGAGGGCTGTGGGTCAGTAAGCTGTATCTGACCCCCAGGGACATAATGCACTTACGTTGTCCCATGCTCCTTAGGGACCTGGGAAACGTGGTGCGCAGTAAGCCCCATACAGGGCTGGAAGACCTTCCCCACTACGGTCCATGCACACTCCACACGAGGTAAGCGTGTGTGAGTGTGGGGGACATGGTGCACTTACGTTCTCCCCATGCTCCTTAGGGACCTGCAAACGTAGTGCGCAGTGTATAGTCACTTGCACTGGCACCTGCAGGGTGGAGCTATGGGCTTGTTCAGACCAATTAGGCTCTACCAGCCAAGTAAGCTGCGGCCCCGACTTCTCCACGGTCACAACCGGATGATAGGAAGTTGGGGTGCGGTGGCTGTTAACCAAAGGCCGGTCAGGGGCAGTGTGGTGGGTCGATGTTGTAGGGCGACAGGGTACCCACTGTACCCATATAGTCCAGTAGAGAGCGAAGCCTGAGATAGAACAGGGGGTTACGTATTGTAACCCTAGTTCTATAAGCACAGGCGGAGCCCTCTACCTAGGGCCCTGTCTTTCCTATGCCGCTCGCTGAAGAGGGTGTAGGATGACAGTCAGGAGGTGTAACTGCCTTATATGCGCGCGCATTCAGGTAGGCTCGCCCTGATTGGCCGGCTACGTTTATACAACTTCAGTGTATGAACGCTCGCGTATCATTGATGAAGTAGTACCCATAGAGTTCAGTAGAGGGCTCCGCCTGTGCTTATAGAACTAGGGTTACAATACGTAACCGCCCATTTTAATTTATTATCTTTTGACTAAATGCTTTTGGAATAATAGGCTGGTATATTTGAATGTTGTACAATAATGAGTTCTTCCAACCTCTACTAGTCAGGAAACCCCAAATCCTTCAACCAATACTAGCTATTGATATTGTAACTTCTTTAAAACGATACATTTAGTTATGTATGACATTTTACCAAGTCTTAATCTAGAATTCCTTATGAGACTTCATTAATTGGCTCTCATAACTGCATTTGTGAGGTATTGCCCAAATAAATTGCTTGGTGTAAATCAAGTCAATATGATTTATTATTATTTGTAAGAAAATGTATAACAATAATTATGAACTCCTTCTAATAGCTATTTTGTTTGTCATGTTTTTTAAACGTGTGCATCTTAACTTAAGTGCCAGTTATTATCAACCCTATTTAATAATAATACTAATAATAATATATTTATTTTGTTAGCGCTTTTACAGGTGCTCAAAGACGCTTTACAGATATAGTGAAAAGAAAAGATGATTTAGGATTTAAGTATACAGGGCTCGACATTATAAATGGCCCGCTGGCCCGGAAGCATTATTTAGACACCCTGGCCAGCATAACGTACTTTTCACTTGCGGGCCACTAAAAATATTGCTTAAAAAAAAATGTTTCCTGTGGTATTGGTATTTTGACTAGCAATTTATTATTAACGCTACAACACAGCGTTTTGTGAGTCGCTTGTCGTTGTTGGGTGAAAAGCAAACCGCTGTTTGCTGCGGAGCGCAGCGCGAGCAGGCTCCCGAGAGCGCGCTCCTTCACTACAGACCAAATATGAACAATTGAGGAAAATGAGGAAGAACTGATGATTAAAATGTTATAGTACAAGTAGTAATGTAGTTAGTGCATAAATTACAATTGCAACAAATGTGTTAATTTTCTTCATTATTAGAGTCGATTTTTTTTGGACGAATGCTCCGGGCCAGTGGTCACAATGGTGGGGCCAGTGACAATACAAGTCCACCTGCCCAGAGGGCCAGTGGCTTTTTACCCTTAATGTCTACCCCTGGATATGAATAGTTGTATTAATAGAGATTAACATTAATAATTGATCATATCTATACTTACTCAGAGAGAACCTCAACATGGGCTCAGGCTTATGGCTATACATTAAATCAGGAATTTTAGAACAAATATATTACCGGATATCTACAAATTCATTAGATTTTCGATACCTGTAACAAATGGCATGATGTTTGAATCAGTATATGTCAAGATATCTCACTCAGACCCAAAAAGAAGACCTGGTGCAGGGTCGACCGTAGCACTGGCGTTATAGATGTTTCGCCTAGGGCGCCAGATCTGTGGAGGCCGCTGCGCTGGCAGCTCTGGGAGGGAAAAAAACATTTTTGACCGTTGGTACTCATCCTAATTTTTGGCCTTGATGTAACAATATTCATAATTAAGTAAATGTAACACCCTTTTCACCCCGGTTACATGTTTCATTTGCCCTGTACGATGGTCGCTGTAAGTGATGAAAATGGGGGATGTTGGCTTATCAGGAGCCCGAAGCTCACAGCCAAAGTGCGAGTGAGCGAGCAAGGGAGCAAGGGAGGGCGCACCGGTACCGGTGTTGTTGTTATTATCATCTGGTGCTAACTGCTCTAACGGATATAATAAGAAGATGTTTCTACAATAATGTGGAGGGAGAGTCCTCTCCAGTCAGACTGAGAGGCTGATAACTACAGCTCAGTGAGGTAAAGGACTCTGAGTGTTTAGATAGTTCACTTTAGTCTAAGTTATCTCAGTGAGTCTCAAACGGTTTGATCACAATTTAACACATATTTCCAAGGCACTCCTTTATAATTATTGGGATAATCAGGTTTGAAATCATTCCAATGTATACTATAGGACAGTAAACCAAAAATATTGTTTAAAACTGGAGATAAAAAAATATGCATGAATAAATAAATGTTAAGGTAAAATAAGATATGAATGAACAACAAAAATAAAATAAGTTACATGTATTTGTTATTGGCTATGGTAGGTTATTGGTTATGTTCACATACTTATTTGATTATTAGATATAATAATTAGATTTCGCTAAAATCTCGCCTAGGGCAGCAAATTGTCTAGAGCCGGTCCTGACCTGGTGGTCCTCCAACGAAAACTCTTGGATCGCCAAAGTCATAGTGATTCATCCTCTGGTACAGAATTCTCTATCCATCTAATAGATGTTGAGTGGTAAGTGTTGAACATACCAAGCCCAAATCTGTCACTGCCAGTCCAATAGCTGTGCCACCGTCATAGTTTTAAAGCCTTTCTTATAAAGGTTATATGAAGCATTCCTCATACAACTGCTTGCATTTTGAACAACCTTTATACTTGTAAGCAAAAAAGGCTTTTCAAAGGAAAGAGGGAGAGAAAACACAACAGATTTAAACTTTGCTCATCTTTATAATCTCCTCAAAATCTCATTGCTTTTGAAGGTAGCAGAGGAGCTGATGACACTGGCATATGAAAATGGGATCAATCTGTTCGACACAGCTGAAGTTTATAGTGCTGGAAAGTAAGTATGACTCATCAAGTACATATATAAAAAAGAGTTTTCTTGATACATTTTTGTCAATCATGCCAATCTACATAACCTCCTTTCCAGTCCAGAGGCTGCATTAGTGCACATGAAGCCATTACTGAATGATCAGTCAGGGCAGAACCTACCTCTCATTTCTAAAGCGTGAAAAATGTATAGTGACAAATGCATACAGTATAATTGCTTTAAATGACTTGACATCTTACATCAGTCTTTTTAAGAACATATGTTGCTGACCTTAACCTAACAATTCAAGACCTCAAAGCCCTCTCCACAGGGAACCTATGTGTGAAGACAAGTATTTGTATATTATTTCAAAAGGGGGATCCTTTGCAATACAATTGATGAAATAGTAAACAAAGGGTGAACTAGAGACTCGTTTTACTTTTGTTTTTTTAACATTGGTTTGTTTACATTGCATGCAAATATCTTTTGTTAAATGTACTGAATATTTATAAAGATAACTGGTAAGGGAAAATGCATGAAAATATTTCCCTCTCTCCTTTTCCCCAGGGCTGAATCTGTCTTGGGAAGTATCATAAAGAAGAAAGGATGGAGGTATAGTTTTAGATTGTTTGTACAGACTTGTACTTCGAAAACAACCATGACTATTTCCCCAAGTCCATTATTTGTATGCATTGCCATATAAAGGGTTAAGAGTTTCCAGACTGGCACATTTACTGTGGTTGAGCTGGTGTTCAGTCTTATGGCTCTGGAGAGATCCCTACCTCACTGTCTGATAATGCAAACAAAGACTGCTCACATTGTCACATACACAATAAAAAGCTAACTAAAATATTTAAAACAATTTGGTGCATCAGCAGGGTTTTACCATGAGCTGTATTGTAACTTAGCTTATCCATGCCAGCATAGTAGTTGTGCCAGTCTTTTAAGGTCTAGTCATATCACCAGGTCAAGTAGTACAGTATTTCACCTCCTTTACTTAGCCTTGAAGCCTTGCCCACACACGCTCATTTAAAAAAGGAGTTGGGATAACTGGTTAGTTTCTCATGGGACTTGGCTTCGGACGGTTGCCGGTTCAAGTCCTAATCAGATCAAAACAATTAAATAATGTGGAGTGTGGACTGGTAGCTGGAGAGGTGCCAGTTTACCTTCTGGGCCCTGCCGAGGTTCCCATGAGCAAGGCACCAAATCCCCAACCGTTCCCTGGCCCCGGACAGATTGGCAGCCTCTTCGCTCTGACTCTCCTCTAAAATGCGTTTGCACGTGTGCTGTGCACCTATACCTGTATAATTGTGTGTGTGTATTTGTACTGTGTGTATTAAAAAATATATTTAAACAGAGTGGAAAACTGAATTTCACTTATATATATATATATTACGGGATGTAAAATGCTTAATCTTAGCAATACCCCTACTGTTTCCAGGGGTTATTACACAGCATCTACACGGCGGCATGCGTTGAAGCTTGCCGGTGGGCGTGTCTGAAACTCGACCAACAACCAATCACATGAATCTCCCGCCCCGGACACACAAGCACGCGGTTTTGATTGGCTAGAGCTTGTACTGGCATATCATTTGGATTGGCTGACGCCTTCCGTCGAAGCTTCAAAAGTAGAACTTGCTCTACCTTTGAAGCGAGCAACGCGACGGAACCACAATGCAGTTCGGCAAAGCATGACGTCACCCCATTCAAAGTGAATGGTCAGAAGTGTTGAAGCTTCAACGCACGCCGCCGTGTGGGCGGGCCGTTATTGAGTGAATGAAACTACCACAGCCTGAATTCTATTTTTTCATATGTTCTCACACGCAGGCGGTCAAGTTTAGTCATCACCACCAAAATCTTCTGGGGCGGAAAGTATGTATACGTTATATTTTCTTCTCCTTTTTTCACTTGTTCTATAATTGGAATAATATAAATTCCCTCCCTCTAGTCATAGGCTAAGGCACTATGTGTATTATACAGTACATCCTTACATGTTATACATTCTAGGTAATTTTATTATTGTCCAATACAATTCCAAATGGAAAACTGGTGAAGTCACATTACATTTCACTCAAATGGGAAACTCCTGTCATCATTAATCCAGTTAAAGGGAAATGTCATTACATTAGCAGAGCTCGAGAGAGAGGAAACAAATTAAGTTGTTAAAACAGCTATTGATAAATGTATGGTTCTTGAACAGTAGACGTTTTTCATATTATCTTTTGGAAACTTGCCTCTCTACGGAACATATTTTTTAAATATATTTCAACAATTACTTGAAAATATTTGAAATGTTTACAAGGCCTGTGACATATACTTTAGTAGACCAGAATATGTGAACTCAGCTTTTTACATCTACTTAGATCTGTCTATCAAGGTGGAAATTAATTAATTCAGCTTTTGTTAATGCCACTCTAAAGGGTTAAGAAGAGCCTGCCATTTTTCACAGTTGGACACTATAACCTTTGTTTGCTTTTATTTCACCTCGTCAAAATATTGACCATGGACACCTTATTTCTCTTGTTCCTAATGCCGCCTACAATCTAAAACACATCAGTGGCAGAAACAAGAAATAAAACCGTAAGGCCTGTATTCAGTCTGCTTCAACCTGTGGATTAATACATATCACAAACACCTTTTTCTTTCTTTTTTTGGATGTAGGTTAAATCACTTGGTTTGCAGCAATAATTGAAAACATTTAAAAACAGAATAAATATGTTGTATAGTAATACGCAATAATTATGCCTTATCGTGCTGTCACTTCAAATATTAAATAGAATTTACAAGAATGTGATAAGCTGCATACAGATGCAGTTGTGATGAAGGTGGACAGAGTAGTCATTCCTTCTTGTAAATTGGTTGTGAGAGATATCTGTGCAGGGCCGCCCCTCCCTACAGGCCAATCACGCAGGCTGCATGGGGCCCCGCCTTGCGCAGGGGGCTCCGCCCAGAGGGCCTCAGCTGCTGTGCGCAGTTCTCAGCGCACCCCCGGCTGACACGGGAGAGTGAGAGGTGACAAGGGGAGCACGTCTGTAACCCGAAACCGTTGCAATGAATCGACATCTGACCAATCACGGCTTTGATACGGCCACTAGTGCAGGTGAAGAGATGTCGGTGAAAAGACAGTTTCAGTCCGGCGCAAGCTAGAGGGAAAAAAAAAAAAACTTGAAGAAACTAGAGCATCACTCGAAGGTGGGTTATTGTATGAGTCAAATGTACAACTTGCGAATGTTGTATAAGTCAAATGGCCGATTGCCATATTAAAACATCAGCTGCAATTCATGACATGAAGAAGGCAGTCTCTGCAGAGCATATAGGCTAATGGAGATGCAGTTATTTCCAGCATTCTTTATTTACCATTCATTCAAGTATGTGATGCCTTGTATCTGCTAATGTACAGGAGGAAGAGTGATACACTGTCTGTCTAGTTGGCTTACATAACAGTTAAAGTTTACAGCCTAAAAAACATGGAGCATTTTTCCCCCTTATATTCATTTTTATGTCAATTTGCACATTTCATGGTGATGCTCAGCCTCTCCCCTTAACTCCTAACAGTCATCATCATGTCAACCACAAGACAGAGAAATACTGATAGAAGTGTGTGTAGTTGTTGATACATTGCTGACAGAGGGAACTACATTTGAATACAGATTTAAGAAATATCAGTTTTTGAGCACGTCATAAGCATGTTTTGTCTTGACTATATTACAACTATATTATAATAAAATAATATAGTATTTATATTATTGAATTGACTATTATTATAGTAGAAGTTGTTATTTGCATTCATTATATTTAATCTTTGTTGAGGCTAGTATTTGGCAGGAAATGGCAGACGTATTCACCTGTAAACGCAGACGACATACATGCACAAACCATTTACCTCACTGCATAAAAAAGTGTTGATAATAATAATAAACAGGGGAATTATATTTGCAAACTAGCCTACTTTGTTTCCAAAAAAAATGTTTTCACTCCTGTCGGTTTGGGGGGGGGCCTCATCTCACAATGTCGCTTGGGGCCCCAAGTTGGCCAGGCCCTGTATCTGTGGCCTAGAAAAAAGTCCATCACACTCTTCCACTAGACAGCAAAGGTTGCATTTATCTACTGGAAACATCTTCATGACTAACTCATAGACACTAGGTTACGGGCCTGTCGGCCATTAAGAATTGTTCACAAGCCTTGCTAAGCAGGATACCGTAAAGAGTGGGGTCTCTTGTCCGCTATGTGAAACTTTGTGTGTGTTGTTCAGAGGATGTAGTTTAGAAAAGTAAGAAGTAAGAAAATCCCAGCGAGCAAACCTGGCTCACCAAATTGGAGAGATTGACAAACAATGTGCACAAACTAAAAATCAGGTCCTCTAAAGCAGGGGTTCCGTGAAAAAGCTGTGAGTTTATCGTAATATTTGCACCTATACCAGTCATATTATATCATCCAGTAGCCTAGTTAATCTTTCACCAGAAAACCGTTGAAAATGGCTTTTATGATGTTCCGAGGGATTCGGCGGCTCAGCCTATAAGGTCTCAGCCTCTCGTGCGCACGAGAAAGTTACCGGTGCGCCAAGTAGGAAGTGGAGCGCACAGGAGACAACCGTTTCATTGCAGACTGTTATGTTTATGTGGGGAAATGGCAGTGCATACATTATTTGAGATATATTTCAAACTCGGACTTCATTTTAAGGACATGTCGGCCAGGGGTGTAGAGCTATTTGTTTAAGCACCGGATTGGCAAAACAGGAGAGTAAACCAGTCTGCCTTGATCTATGAATTCATGTCAGGGACTCTCACGGTATCTGCTGCCACAGCTGTTTTATAGAAGGAAAACCTCCTTCACTTCATGAAATGGCTGCAGCACCAGGAGGCAGTGGGACGTATACTCCGCCTCTGAGAAGTGCAGCACCAGGGCACCGAGAGCTATGCCTTTTTACGCACCGCCTTCGCTGTGTTTACCTTCATCAGAACAGCTTAAGAGTGACTGCAGGCTGCTACGTGTTAACCACACACACATCTCGACACACATCGAACTGCCCGATTACTCCCCCTTTTATTAGTTTTATGAAGGAGATGTCCAGTCACCAAGGCGCATGATGTGTGTGTGTGTGTGTATGTGCTCTGCTCAGCTCAGCTCTGTGTGTTCGGTGTTCTTGATAGCTATGGACTGACTCAGCATGTGACGGAGCCCACGCACAATAAGGGGCACACTCTGGACTTAATTATCTCAAAGGGTCTGAATATCTCTCAGGTTGTGGTGACTGATGTTGCACTCTCTGACCATTCCTGTGTTTTCTTTGAGAGCTCTATTTCTGTTCACAAATATGTTCAAAAAGAGGTAACCACAAAGCGATATTTAACTGAAAATACTAGGGAAATGTTTACTCAGAATTTTTCTTCCACACTTGCCCCTGCTAACATCTCAGTAAATGAGCTAGATGATCATTTTAATTCAAAAATTAAAAATGTTATAGATGCCATTGCTCCAACTAAGGTAAAGGAAGTGTCTGGCAAGACAATATCTCCATGGAGAAAGGCCATGAGCGTGAAAACAGAAAAAAGAGAATGTTGAAAAGCTGAACGCAGGTGGCGAAAAACAAATCTCCAGGTTCACTTTGAAATCTATAAAGAGAGACTTGGCCTTTATAATTTGGAATTGAAAAATGCACGACAATCATTCTTCTCTGACATCATTACCAAAAACAAAAACAACGCACGTGCCTTGTTTGCTACCGTCGACAGACTAACTAACCCCCCAGTGTCAGTAGCCTCTGAATTTCTATCCACCAGGGCGTGCAATGATTTTGCCTCCTTCTTCACTGACAAAATTCAGAAAATCAGACAAGCAGTCAATGCCTCTGCATCAGGAACAGCAAATGTGTTGTCTCTGTGTCCACTTAATTCAAACACCATGACATAATTCCATCAGATTAATGATAAAAACCTAGAGGATTTAGGATTATACAACTTCTGAAATCCTCCTCCTGCTGCCTTGATATTATTCCAACAGGATTTTTTAAAGATGTTTTGCCTTGCATGGCCTCAGATCTACTTCATATAGTAAACACATCTCTTCACTCAGGTATTTTTCCACAAGCCCTGAAAACTGCAGTCATTAAACCGCTCTTAAAAAAGAATAATCTAGATGCTTCAGTAATGAACAATTACAGGCCCATATCAAACCTCCCATTTCTAGGTAAAATCATTGAAAAAGTTGTTTTTCAACAGTTGAGTGATTTCTTGCATTTAAATAACTGTTTCGATGTGTTCCAGTCAGGCTTTCGTCCAAACCACAGCACTGAGACCGCTCTTGTAAAGGTCTTTAATGACATCCACTTAAACACAGACAGTGGCAGAACTTCAGTGTTAGTATTATTAGATCTCAGTGCTGCGTTTGACACTGTTGACCACAGCATATTACTAGACCGACTGGAAAACTGGGTGGGACTTTCGGAAACAGTTCTAAATTGGTTTGAATCCTACTTAAAAGGACAGAAACAACTTTGTTTCTATAGGTAAATACACATCTGAGTTGACAAATATGACATGTGGGGTTCCTCAAGGCTCCATCTTGGGGCCTCTTCTCTTTAACATCTACATGCTACCACTGGCTCAGATAATGAAAAACAACAAAATAAGTTACCATAGCTATGCGGATGACACACAAATTTACGTAACAATTTCACCAGGAGACTATGCTCCAATTCAAACACTGAGTAAGTGCATTGAACAAATCAATGACTGGATGTTGTCAGAACTTTCTCCAATTAAACAAAGATAAAACTGAGGTAATGGTTTTTGGAGCCAAGTCAGAACGTATAAAAGTTAGCGCTGAGCTTCAGTCTGCAATGTTCAAAACAACAGATAAAGCCAGAAATCTAG